TCGATGATCTGAACGTAATTATTATTCTAGATGGTCTTCAAGTGGCAATGAATGACCCCGATGATGGTAAAAATAAACAATCTTTTTTTTACAATTGTATCTCCTCACTTGGCATTCTTTCACTTTCTGGCCCATTCGTTGTTACCTGTTGTACAGCTACCATTAGCATGCCCATTCACAATTTTCTTGCCAGTTCACAACAAAAAAGAGTTTTTCTCCCAGTGACTTCATTAAAACCTCCTAAAATAAACAACCACCCAGTTTTTGTCGATAATCCAGTCATGAGGATGCTCATAAATGATATGGGTGGTCATGGGCGTGCATTGGAGGCGTTAGAAGTGTCTGTTAGAGAAAAAGATTTGGACAATGTTAATTTTATTGATCTAATAAATAATGTACGATCAAAACTCATTGATAATTATCAAGGATGGTTAAGTAAAACCATTTATTTGAAACCGGTCCTCCGCATTATTCTTTCACGTACACAAGTTGATAAAAATCAAGATATTTCTACATTTGAAGGGAAAGGAATAAAAGTAGATGACGTAACACAATTTGGTCTCGTTCGATTTGAAAGTCGAAGCACGGATCAAGTGGTTGGATATCTTACATGTCCGTATATTTGGCTATGGATAATGGCGCATGCGTTATCAAATGATAAACTTTTACAGAACTGGGATTTTAACTATTACAACGAAGTACGCAATAAAACAGGGGACCCAAGCATACCACCCGGTTGCCAATACTGGCAAAATTTTGAGTACTTTGTTGCTCAATTTCGCTCTCTAAAATCGAATATCTATGATGATGATGAACAAGTTGAACTCAGAGTCATTCATTATGGTGCCAAGCATAATTTTGGCAATAGTTCCATATACAATCGAAGACTTACATTAGAACGATCAGTTAAAAGGGTCAGCACCAAGTCTGAAAATTATAACCAAGATGCAAAAATTTTGTGTCAACATGGAGATGTTGATGTTACAAATGCGAGACATATTATAATCAATGCACTTAGTGCTGAATCTGGGGATAGCTTTTGTCCGATTCAAATGGTAGGGAATGAACAACTAAAAACGGAGACACATCAATGCAAATTGGTAAAACAAATCATTTCTCAGGAAAGTTTTAAAGATGAACATGAAAAAGCAACGAGTCCGGGGGATATTTTCATTCTTTACACATCAGCATCCTCCAAAAAACTTGAACTTCATCAGCCAATGTCTGCAATCGTTTGTAAAGACAACTGGGAAGAATATTTCGGATCTTTTGCTGGAAGATGCTATAATTATGCCATGGGACCACCAAATATTAATGAAGCGACCTACACTCAGCTGACTGGAATAGATTTCATTGCAGAAGCACGTGCTAGAACTATCATGGAAGAACGAAACAAACGCAAATTTTCTGGTATAGACGATTGTCTAAGTAGAACAAAAATTCCGCATATATTTCTTGAACCTTTTTTTTCGGATATTGAGTAAATTGTTATATCTCAACTATAGTCATTATAAACATAATGTGAAAACTTAGCTAATCGCATATCTTTTTTTACTGTGATTTAAAATTCAAAAATATAAAATCTTTATTGTTTTGTAAAATGTGAAAAATAAAAGGCGCCATTATGCTTCCATAATTTCCAAAAATTCAGAGCAGAGAAAAAATAAAACAATAATTTTCGCTCTTACCTTTATATTTTTGCATTCCACTCCGCCTCACATTTACAGTGAACTCTTTGATAACGATTTCCTCGATCATTTTTAATGCACGTATAAAACATTGCTCGATTTGAAATATCTATAATGGAACCAATGTAATCAAGAATATTCTTCTTTAAAATAAATGATGATTATCTTTAAAGAATTCGGAGAAGATCGAACGTGATGCGTGAATCTATTTACACAGAAGTTTTTTTTGAATTTTAATAAGCAAATATCGGGAAACTCACGATACTATTATTAAATTCAATGAAAAGTTTGCAGTGGTTGAGAAGAAAATACTTTTTTACTTATGAAGCTTCATCATCGATCTAATCAAGCACACATCAAGGCTGGCAATGTCTAGATGACGTTCGTCATGTCCAAGATTTATAATGACATGCTGGTCAATTGCGACGAAATTTCAAGGGGTAGAAAATCAATTTGAAAGAAGAAAATCGAGTGGCATTGGAGGTTTAAGGAAATTCCTCATCACTAGTACATTGGTATCGACAATCATGTTTTATTAGCTCAGTTTTTAAAACTTTTTGTGTCTATTCTATACATCTAAAACATGATACCTGACGAACGGTATCTGGTCTCATTAGTTTAAAACGAATCAGTAACGAAGAACTTTAAAGAATATGAGAGGTGTTTTTTGTATGGATCAATGAAGAATTTTTTCTTCTGATGTCGGAAGAAATAGTGATTAACCTTTACTACAAAGCGGTGATGTGTGTATATTCAGCATGTTTGGGGCTTCATAAAATACATTACAGAAAGGATTTGGAAAATAAGGAAGGCCGAATGCTACAGAGAGGGATGAATTTGAGAAAAAAAGCTTATGTAGTCATCTAATGTTTGTTAATACATCTTAGCGGAAAACGTCATTATTCATTAACTAGAATTTGCAGTTTCAGTCTACCAAGCAGAATTATTTTTATAAAACGAAAATAAATTTTTTTTTATAATAGATTATACAATTATAGATAATATAATAAATATTAAAGGCTTTTGTTTCAAAGAGTTGTATTCTTCAATATTTTTTTTTATGATTTTATAGTAATTTTAGCAAATAAAATCTGCTCGTAAAAGTACGTTTAATTTTTATTATTGACTGTTATTATTAAAAAGCATTAGAATCAATATTATAAAAAGCGATTAAAGCATTTCGTAATAGCATATTCTTTAAAGTTATTATGCAATTAAAAAAATATTTCAATTTAGGTTTTGTGAACCAAATTATGCAAATAAAATTTTCCAATGCTTTACTTAAAACAAGAATCAAGTTTGAACGTTCTTTAGCTTTATTGTCCTTAATTAACTAACATAAGTTGAAAAAAAAAAATACATAGCGAATTAATTGGGATGAATGATGAAACTTATGAATCAATCGAAAAGATGTCACCAAATACTTTTGTTGAAATATCTTGGGATGATAAAGATTTACGGACAAATTCATTATTAGTAAACATACAAAAAGTTGTACTATATTTCTTTTAAAACATTTTCAAGAAAATGTTTAATCATCCTTCATATGGTAGTATTCAAGGAATCTTATTAGATAATTTACGATGTATTGTCTGAAAGAAACAAAAATTCTTTACATAAATACTTTAATTCGTGATCTGCCGATCATCGATAGAAAATCTATAATTGATTTCCGGGTAAAATTTCCTAATTAGTTAGCACAAACGATAAAAATCCCTCAAAGAAAATTACATTTTTGTTAATGTTGGCGTCAACACCCTCCCTCACGTGGAAAGAAAATTTATTAAAAAACTGGATGCTGCGATTTCGTAATTTTCTTATACTCAAATAAATTAATTTTGCAATCTATTTCACTTCAAAATCTTCAATTATGGGCAAAGGAACGGATAAAATGTAAGTTCCTTTATAACAACACTGTTGAAATTTATTTAAGTGGTTCGTCCTTACACGAATTTTGATGTTTTATTATTGGATTAGGTACATTACGCATTCCGGTAAAATTATAATTCTGTTATTTTATAGGATTTCTTTAAATGGATAAAATACATATTTAATTTTCAATATAGAATGGTCTGGAGAATTTGGAGGAATGCAGTTTGGAGGAATCCAGGCTAGAAAGAAAACCGACGTTTTTAAAAGACTTCCATTCTATTGTTGCTCGCTTACATTGCAGCCTTTCGAGCATCCTGTATGCACTCCTGATGGTATCATCTTTGATCTAAGGTTCTGAGGCAGTATTTATTAACTAGACTGTTATTATAAAAGTGATCGAGCACTTTTTGTTTTTATACGTTAATTATTGAATCTTTTAAATAGGCATATACGTCTCTATTTGAAAAAATTTGGAATGAATCCTGTAACCGGTGAAAAGTTAGACGTGAATTCATTAATTAGTCTTAACTTTTTTAAAAATCCTGAAGGTATGTGATTCACAATTTTAACCATGCATAATCGGTATCCTTATTAATAAATGACCCCATTCTTAGATGAATATCATTGTCCGGTAACCTTTAAAGTATTCAGTGATCATACACATATTGTTGCTATAAAGACTACAGGCAATGTATATTCATATGAAGCGATTGATCGGCTGAATATTAAAACGAGACATTGGAAAGATTTATTATCAGACGAACCATTTACACGAAAAGATATAATAACTATACAGGTAAATTTGCTCACCTTTGTATTTGATATTAGTAATTCAATATGTAAACCTTTTTATGCTAATTATAATATAGGATCCTCATAACCTTGAAGTTCGTAATTTATCAAATTTCCATTATCTTAAAAATAATTTGAAGTTAAAAGATGGTATGCAAATTTTATAAGACGAAAGCTCAATTCATTAGTAAAAAGATTAAATTTGGCAATTTTTTTCTAGACGAATCAAACGATCCTTTAAGCAATATAAATTTAAGTGCTACGGGTTCGGCGGAACGTGTTCTCTCGAAGATTTCTTGCAAGGTATAATATATGCACATTATCATTTCAAATTAAAGTGATACTTGTAATCTTATTATTCACTTTCATCTTTAGCATGATGAATCGGCACATGATGCAACTGTTGAAAATAAACTTCTGAAGAAAGCATCGTCTTCTACACCTACTGTAAAAAAATCAAAAAATGTTCCATATAATGCAGCGTCATATTCACGTGGATTAGCAGCTGCATCGTTTACTTCTACTGCGATGACACCAGTAACTGAAAATGAAAATGCACTTGTTGACGAAGAAGAATTCATGTTTAAAGAAATTAAGGAAAAAGGCTACGCAAGAATCGTAACTAATCTTGGAAACTTGAATATCGAATTATTTTGTGATAAGGTATGAAACGGATCTTTTTTTTTTTTTTATTAATGTTAATTGAATTATGAAGCCATTTTGTAATTTGTATTTTCTATATATATAATATATATATATTTATATTTTAAAGGCACCAAGAACTTGTTATAATTTTATAATGTTATCAAAACAAGGATATTATAATAAGTAATATTTGTACTATTATACCTTCCAAATTTTATGTTATAAGCTAATTTACCCATTTATTTAATTTACAAGGACAATATTTCATCGAAAGATCAAAAATTTTATGGTATTTATAAGTAATTTTTTTTTTTAACTTACATTTTGGATAATATTAATAATTATAATTATTTTTATTTAGATTCAAGGTGGTGATCCTACAGGTACAGGGAAGGGAGGTGAATCATATTGGAAAAAAGATTTTGCAGATGAACTTAAACGTAATCTTTCACATAATGAACGTGGGCTTATGAGTATGGCAAATAAGGGAAAGAATACAAATTCATCACAATTGTATGTATAATGTCTTTTGTTTGTTTATCTTATATTTAATTTTAAAGATTTCTTTTCATGATTCTCTTATTTGTCAATTATTTTAGTTTTTTCACTTTTCGTCCGTGTACTCACCTAGACAACAAACATACAATTTTTGGTAAAATTGTTGGAGGAAAAGAGATTCTAGATAAAATGGAATTAGTACCCACTGATGAATCCGATCGACCTTTACAGGAAATTAAAATTATTGAAGTAGCAATTTTTATAAATCCGTATGAGGAATACAAGAAAAAGTTAGAAAAGAAATTAAGTCGACAAGATGAATTTGCGGAAAGGAAACCGCGAGAAAAGACCGAAAAGGTTTGACTAAATTAATATATAAGTAAATATCAAAAATTTTTTAAGATTTTAATTTTTGTATTCTAATATCAGGATACAACTACATGGTTTGGTACGAAATTGACATCAACCGGTGCGAAAGAAAGTAATAGCAATATATCAGGTGATGTAGGAAAATATCTAAAATCAACTACATCACCTGATATACCTAAAAAAAGAGAATTGGATAATGAAGAACTTGATTCAGAACCAGTTCCTGAAATTAATAAGAAATTAAAGACTACTGGTTATAATTTTGGTAACTTTAGTAATTGGTAATAATGAATTTAATGATTGAATTTAATGATTGGCGATCCTTTTGAATAACATATGTGCATTCGTTGTGGTTTGATGAACCTGTTTAATAAGAATATTTTATATTAAAAAATCATGTTTTGATAAAAAAACATGATAATAAAATTTACTTTCCACTTCTTCAATCGAGATTTGTTTTATTTTGGAAATTTCCGATGCACTTATGATAATGCTATTCGGCTCATTGTCAACTCCTTTTTCAGGACCTAACGCCGGTGAATCTGTTTCAAGTAAAAGATTGGATAGTGGAATCTCTGCCACTAATTTTTGTTTTTGAGGTGACCGAATTATTGAAGGTGGTATTGAGAAAAAAAATCTGTGCCAAGATAGATAATATTAAGTTTATCAATATCGTGTATACATAATAGAAAAAGAACGCGTAATCCATACCCCATTTCGACTCCCCTTTTTGCATATTTTACTTGACCATCGAAAGCATGCATTACTACTTTTCTTGCGCCATAATCTCGTAAGCAGTCTAAGGCATGATATCCAGCACTACGCGAATGAACATTTAGGGGAAGGTCAAATTGAAGGGAAAGTGCAATTTGTTGCGCAAATACTTGACGTTGTATATTTTTTAATTCTTCTGTGCTTAGGTTCAGTTTAGGGTTTGAATTAATCGCATTTTGTAAAACATGGGGAGTAAAGTCTAACCCAACTAAATGAAAAAAAAATTGTGAACTAAACCTAATACTAATGGAATAATGATACTAAAAATCAACTTTAATAATACCTTCACCAATTCCGATTAATTCGGTCGACTTTTTTCGAATGAATTCAAGCATACTATTAGCTTGATCAATGCTAATTAAACTCATTGTCCCTACAGGCTGCACAGGGTGCAAACCCGCACAAGGTTCTATCATTTCTCTTAATGAATCTGATAATGACGCATCATTTTTCAATTCCAATATATTTTTAGCGTCTTCAACAGTTTCTGAAACATTAATTATCGATTTTACGTTCGCAGCTTTAGCACGTAAAAGGATTTCCTCAATTGGTGTATTTGGAAACGAAGAAGGATAAAGGTGAGCATGAACGTCTATTAAATATTGATACATTTTTAAATGATGGACTTTTAATGTTTCGGATCTACGTACCGATATCACGGTTCTGGTTTTTTTTTTTTTTATACATCATCAATTTCGGGTATCATTGTCATTCATAAAACTAGCACTCCCTCCGTTTTAATTTTACGCGTTTGATCAGTTCGCATACCTTTATACATACAATATGCCTCCAAAGGAAGATTGGGAAAAATGTAATTTGAACAATAAAATATTTGTATTATATAACTTTATTTTTTTTTGGTCATTTTGATTGAAGTAAACATATTTCATTTCTATATGATAAAGCTAAAATTGGTGAAGAAAACGATGAGAAGATTACTGGTATGTTTCTTTTTCTTTTTTCTTCTTACAAGGTTAAATCTATTATTGTTTAATTAATCCGCCTCTTATATGCAATAGCACTCGATGAAGGAGATATTGCACTTTTGAAAACTTATGTAAGTTATAGTTGAGTTTCCGGGTTTTATTATTAATTTCTTAAAATGTTCCTTGGCTTATAACTCTCGTTAACCTTGAAAGGGTCAAGGTCCTTATGCAAAAGAACTGAAAAAAACAGACAACGATATTAAGGACGTTCAAAAACGAATAAACGAAAAAATAGGTACTATATTCTTCTATAGTTAGTTAAGGTGCATGAGTATTCTGAAATTTATTTTAAATTTTTTTTTAAAATAAGGTGTCAAGGAATCAGATACCGGTCTTGCTCCGCCGAATCTTTGGGATATTCCTGCAGATAAACAAAGGATGCAAGAAGAACAACCTTTACAAGTAAATTATTAAAGAATTAACTAGTTTAACTAGTTGACATATCAACTTTAGGTTGCTCATATATGAGAATTTTCATTTACATATTAAGGTTGCTCGATGTACTAAAATCATTCAAGCTGATGGTGAAGAAGCCAAATATATTATCAACGTAAAGCAAATTGCAAAATTCGTTGTTGCGTTAGGTGAACGTGTATCACCTACAGATATTGAAGAAGGAATGCGGGTCGGGTAGGTTCAAATAATTTAATAAACTCAATATTTATGGTAAAGTTTAAACTTGGTTAAATATTTTTTATAAAATATGTATATACTTTAGTGTGGATCGAAACAAATATCAGATTCAAATTCCATTACCACCCAAAATCGATCCTTCCGTGACAATGATGCAAGTAGAGGAAAAACCCGACGTTACATATAGCGATATCGGGGGTTGCAAAGAGCAAATTGAGAAATTAAGGGAGGTTGTTGAGTTACCCTTACTTCAGGTATGTTAATTTTATTCGTTTAAAAGTCGTTTTAAATTTAATAACAGATTTATTATAAAGAGTATTTTCGACCTTAGCCTGAAAGATTCGTAAATTTGGGTATCGATCCTCCTAAAGGAGTTTTACTATATGGTCCTCCGGGAACCGGTAAAACTTTATGTGCTCGTGCAGTAGCAAATCGAACAGACGCAACATTTATTCGTGTTATTGGATCTGAACTTGTTCAAAAGTAATTATATATTTTATGTTTTACTAAAAAATTATAAATTGGTGACATTTTGTTTTAATAGGTATGTTGGTGAAGGTGCACGTATGGTTCGTGAATTATTTGAAATGGCACGAACCAAAAAAGCCTGTATCATATTTTTTGATGAAGTAGATGCCATTGGAGGTATAACTTATTAAAGTTCCTTCATTCGATCATTTGATAATTTAAATATATATTAACTACTTGTGATTAATAGGTGCACGTTATGATGACGGTGCTGGAGGTGATAACGAGGTTCAAAGAACTATGTTGGAATTGATCAATCAGTTAGATGGTTTTGATCCACGAGGAAATATTAAAGTTCTGATGGCAACGAATCGGTAGATAATCAATTTTATTAATAGTTCTTTATTAAGCAATTATAGATAGAAAAAGAAATAATAAAACCTTTTATCGACAGTCCTGATACTCTGGATCCAGCATTATTACGTCCAGGTCGTTTAGATCGTAAAGTAGAGTTTTCATTGCCCGATTTAGAGGTAGATATGAACTTTATATTTAACACATTATACGTTAAGGTTGAACATTATTATACGATTTTATAGGGTCGTTCGCATATTTTAAAGATTCATGCTAAAAGGTAAATTGACATAAAACTCAATCATGATTATTGCTATTAAAAAACCACGTTATAAATTATCATTAAATTTTATTTACATTTATATTATTAGCATGTCGGTGGAGCGTGATATTCGATATGAGTTGATAGGACGTCTTTGTCCAAATAGTACCGGTATGTTTTTAAAAAAAAAAATGAAAATTAAATTATAGATTATTTATTTAGTTTGCCATTTTTGACATAATCTTACCTTTAATGATAGGTGCTGAATTGCGTAGTGTATGTACAGAAGCCGGAATGTTTGCAATTAGATCTAGAAGAAAGGTAATTCCCATAATTAATGTATTAAAATACATTTCGTGTATTACGTGTGAAAAATTTAAATTTGATATAACTCAATTTAATATTCTGTAGGTTGCTACAGAAAAAGATTTCCTGGAAGCTGTTAATAAAGTTATCAAGGTAATCTTAGTAATTTTTGTATTAAACTTACTTTATTATTATGTTTGCTTATTCTGTTTATTAATTTTACAGTCATACGCAAAATTCTCGTCTACTCCAAGGTATAATTTTGTTTTCAAATTTGCAACTCTTATAATGCATATCGTTTTCGATTATATGATTAAATCATCTATTTTATTTTTATAGATATATGACTTACAATTAATTAGAATAATAAAATTTTTACATTCATTGTACACTTTTTTTCAATAATATTTATTAAATGTGCAAATGCACTTTAAATTTATGATTATATTTTATATAATTGTTGTTCTGAATAACAAAAAGTGTATCAATTTTAACCTTGAATTTACAAAATTGTTATTATATTGGTCTCATGCTAATTTGTTTCCAGTAATCTGACGACTTTACAACCTTAGAAAATCTCATGTCTTACAGGTATCTGGAATTCCTTAGAATTATTTCGCTTAAATATTTGAACTCAAAGGCTTAGGTTAAGGACTTAGAGAATTATTTATTCTTAGTAATGAACTCAAAAGCAAGTCTAGTGTAGTAGTTCACAACCAAATCCTAGTTAGATGAGACACATGGGAAAAATAATTATATTTTCAAATTGATTCCTTTGTTTATTATTTGAAACTTGCAAGAGTTAATTTACAACCTAAGTAAAAATTATTCCATTTATGCAAAATTAATTGGCTTTAGCTAATTGCTATATCATAGACTAATTAAATTTGTAAATACAAATGCAAAAATAAAACAAATGCAAAAATATGAAATATAATAAATATAATAGATATAAGAAATATATAGAAGAAAATAAATGTAAGTATATAATAAAAATAATAAAACAATACAATTTGGATTATATATGAAGTCGAAATATATCATTTCAGATATCCGAAATGGTCAAAATGGTTGAAATCATTTTTTTTTGATACTTTTACTAGGCATGCGCTGATAGTAAAGTTTAGCTGCATACCCTTCAACAGAATGATATGATTTACGATATATAATTACCACTTTAACCCCCTTTGGTATATTGCAACACAGTGTGAAATTGCATTAAACCTAGGTGAATGAGTGTCACTACTAAAGATGGTACCCATAATTAATTTAACAATATGTTATAATTATAAAATTTTATGATCTTGTTGCAACATTTGTTATAATATGTTATAATTATTAAAAAATTTATATAATGTTGCAACAACATTAGATGTTGTAACATTTTAATTATGGTATCTATCTTTAGTCACTATTCGAGTAGACTGCCAAACCACTAAACCTTATGGTAGAATACTTTGGTACTCGTTATCATTCACATTCATCACAACTACTGGAAAGAGGGTCAAGAACAACCTAAATGATAGCCTACACCATAGTTGCCTCACCATACATCAAAATCATCCTAAGAATCGAACTCAAGCCTTCAAACCCTAGTTGTGATATAGGCATAATTAAGGTTGCTGGACGAAATCAAGAGTTTAGACAGACGTCTAAATGGTAAAAGTAAAACTTGGTTAAATTAT